AATATTGGCAAATGGGGTGGGATGTGTCGACTCTTCTACTTATTTATAGAGGATTGGGTTAAAGATTAGGAGCTATGTCCCTTCCTTAATGCTTATCTTTCAAATGAATTTTCATCATACAAGGCCTTGGTGTCTTATACAAATGCATTACAAAATGTTTTAGTAGTGTTAATGATTGAAGTGCTAGTTCCTTGCTCACGATGAAAAAGTTTGATTTGATTTGGGGCAATAAACTTAATTTTTTTTTTTGGAAATGCTGACAAACTTTAGGTTGTGTCAACAATGTCATTTCTTTGCTGGAGATTGGATTCGTGGATTGGGACTTACGACCTTACCCTACAATTACAGTGGTCTATAAAGCTTTCTATTTGAATGAATTTTCGCAGTGACGGGACCTATACAAATGGTTTATAAACTTGATAAAACCCTAATTGAATTATCGATCCCCAATCTATTCCAAAGAAAGATCGGTTTGACTGAGAAACATAAGAATTATAATTACTTTTTGGTAATTTGCATCTTATAACACATGTGCTATAATCTCCACACATCACATGTAGATGATTTAGCTTAAAGTACTTGTGTTTTCCTTAGGATTTATATCCAAATTTTATATTTTGTAGAAGTTCGAATATTTACATGATTTGCATTGGCCAGAAATAAGTGACCATGCTACACAATCTGATATATCCTTAAGATAGTTCGGGGAACTAAACATGGCTCCAAAATTGTCTATAAGTTTTTTAAGCTTCCTTGTATTTATATTTTTTATTTTTTTTGTTCTCCTTGTATTGATATACTCTTTATGGTTCTATTTTGCATTGTCTTTTCCTAGAAAATTTTTAATTTCTTGACTCTCTTAAATTGTTTTAAATATTTTTATGAAATACCATGTGCCTCACTTCCCGACTTCTATGTCAAGTTCAATGTGTGGCGAAATGAAGTCTACTGACATTTGAAAAAAAAATGAGTTCACATGCTTTTTGTTGATATATGTCATTTTCTCGTAAAAAGCATGCGATGATGCAAATATGGTTGCATAAGATGAAGATGGAGATCTTAATACCACTCATGATGGATGGATGGATGTGTGACCATCTATGATGCACGGACACGGACACTGCGACACGGACACGACATGAAATGGACACGGGACATGGCTTTTTTTAAAAAATATAGGACACGGGTACGGCGCAGACACGACAATATATTTTTTTATATAGTGTATATATATTAATGTAATATCGTATTAAAAATGATAAATAATAATAAATGAATGACATGATAATTTGTCTAGCTTATAATATAAAATATTTAGTACAAAATATCTAATACAACCACAAAAATATAAGCAAATAATCACCCATATGATTTGGTGTTGTAGATAGAAAATAAGAAATTTAATTTAAATCTCGGCAAATATAAGAAATTATATTTAAAAAAAATTATAAAATATTTAAGATACGTGTCGGACACGCGTGTCCAATTAGCTTTTAATATTTTTTTAATCGGACACGTTTTCGGCGTGTCCGACACGTGTCGGAGGAGTGTCGGACGAGTGTCGTGTCGGACACGGTGTCGGACACTGCACGCCTCTTTGAGGAGAAGTGTCGGTGCATCATAGGTGACCATTCAAAGTATAAAGCCAAATTAGAGATTCGTACATGTGATAGGATAGTTGATGCTGAAAATTTTGTTCCATGGGTTAGACCAATTACAGATTTTAACTGTTTTAGTGCATTAGTTCGTTTTGATGTTAGTTTGATGCTTAAATTAAGGATGAACACGATACCCCATCCCATTCTTTATCCTTTGGGTCAACTTTAAAATAGATCAAAGATGAAAATTAATCTCCATCGCTCTTGAAGTTTGCATTCACAAATCATTTTATTAATGAGATGATATATGACATGGTTCCACTCATGGGTCAAATAGGCGTTCAAGGCACATGCATTGAAACGAACCTCATAGTGAGACGCCCGCCCAAAATTGCATCGAGACTTTCACCATTTTAGTCTGAGTGAGGCTTACAACTCTTTTGATTGAGGCATATACGTCGAGGCTTTATGCATCGATGCGTTATATGACAACTTGTTAATTTTTTATGTTCTTAATATGATATTTTTTTTTTCTAAATGAATATTTCTAATTCCTTCTATGTATATATTTTCCAACTTATCTTCCTATTTTTTTGTTGTTTATTTAAATTGTTTTCTTACATTATTATTTTTTCATTGCTAGAAGATTATTTGTGGCATTTAATATTGAAATTTGTTTACATTTTTTATTATGTGATTTTGTGGTATATGTTGATGAATCAAGTTAATTTATTAAATTTTTAATTAATAAAATTTTAAATTAACCGCCGGAGCATCGTCGAACCACCGCCGGAGCATCGCCGGACCACCACCTGAGGCCCTCACCTTCGGCAGAGGCCCTCGCCTTTTCCAGACCACCATTTGAGGCCCTCACCTTCGCCAGAGGCCCTCACCTTTGCCAGACCACCATCTGAGGCCCTCACCTTGGCCGGACCACCGCCTGATGCCGTTGCTCCACCATGCCACCACCAGATGCCCGGACTTCTTCCGAGCCACCACTTGATGCCGACAGTCCTCCCGAAGTACCGCCCTCATACTACGGTCTTTCCGACACTTGTCTCCTGCCGACTACGATCCTTCCGACTTACATCGCTAGACAACAGTCTTTCAGACCCTGGTCTCCTGCCAACTACGGTCTTTCACTCCTATCTCCTGCCGACTACGGTCCTCCCAACCTCCGTCGTCTACTATGGTGACTCCGACCTCCATCACCAGACAACGATCTTTTAGACCCCGGTCTCCTGCCAACTATGGTCCTTATGACCTACTTCGCCAGATAACGGTCTTCCTGACTCCAATCTTCTACCAACTACGGTCTTTCGGACCCCCGTCTCGTGCCAACTACGGCCCTTCCAGCCAAACAAACATGTGTATTATTGTAACTCACACTATGTAATGTGCTCTATATGATGTACATTTGTAACATCAGGCCAAGGCTTTTACCCTAAGAAGGGCCTCATTTGTAATCGACTGCAAATACTAGTGGATTCATGCAAACTGGGTTAGGCCCCGTGGTTTTTCCTCCTTTTTAGGGGTTTCCACGTAAAAACTTTGGTGTCTCTTATGAACGCTACACCCTCTCTTACTTATCTGATTGTGTGCTGGATCTTCGTACAATACTAAGACGTTAAACTATATATTTCTCTACCGACGCGAATACTCCAGGACGTAACAGTAAGATTTTGGACCTTTGTTGGAGGCTTCTAAAAATGAAATGCTACTTAAGTTTTATGAATTAGAAAGCTCTCAAAATAAGTTTTTAAAATCTCCTAGAAACTTCCTAAAAGTTCAATTGCTAAAGGTGTAGAAGTGGTATATTTAGGAGGCTGAAAAGCTCGCCCTTGTTGACTATATAAGCCTGGAGCTATGCTATGAACTTTTGATAATTGAAAACATACTTTAGTTGTGATATCCTTTGGACTAATCCATCTTTCTATAGGGTTTGTACCACCAAACTGTAGGTGTACACGAGAGAGTCAATATATATATATATATATATATATATATATATATATAACAAATGCTTAGGTGATGATCGTAGCTAAATCAGAGAATGTCTGCATCAAATTTACTAAGAGTTTAAGAACAAGTTAGAGACAATACAAATGAGAGCTACATTAGTCATGTTCAAGAGTTGTAATTATTATTTTTATTGAATCATTATGTATGTGTGTTTCAAGTAAAGAGACTTGTGAAACGAGCAACACACACAAGTGAATTAAATAAAATCAATTTAAAAATTCCTGATTAATATTAATTGAGCATTAATTGTTAATGGTGGATGGTTTCTACTCATTGAGATAAGAGTGAGAAGCCATAGAGAGAAGAATTCGGGGTGGGATAGTGTGTAAAAGTTGTGTGAGTAATGTGGTTGTTAAGTTCTATGAATTAAGGCTCATAAATGACGATAGTGTTGTGATTCTTAGCGACTCAAGTGAGATTGCGTCATATGTGAGTCAACACAATGATAGTGGAGAGCAAGTGAGTATTCTAGACAACACAACGTCGTGGGTGAATGCAGCAGGTCACATGTTTGCGGACGCAGTAGGCTGTAGGTTGTGGTCGAGGGGAGTGGCCATGAGTGAGTAGATTAGGGTACGAACAAACAAAATACGGCTGCAAGTGAGCAGATTGGGGAACAGGAAAGAGACAAGAAGCTACTAGGGTTGCTAAGGAGGAAGAGTGGGTGACAGAAAACTAAAACAACACTCTAATGTCATATTGAAAATGAGAATTTTTATTGTACATCATTGAGAAAGGAAGTGCCTATTTGTAGATATCCAAGTACGAAAGGAAGGGTATAACGAGTGAGTATTTTCAATTAAGAGGATATAAATTATAATCTAAACAAACCTCCAAAAACTAGTATTTGTGAAGATATCATTTCTCAATTTTAGTTTTTTTTCCTTCAATAATAAGTAGGATATGGTTAAAATTAATATTGATTTTAACTAAAAAAAAACAGCATGAAATCCCACAAAATTGATTTTGCTATTTGAATCAACTGAAGATTTAACCATCTTTTGTACTTAAAAATATAAAATTTAGTTGACGAACCCTCTATCTAGATTCTTTAATTTAGTAATTTCTTTGGTGAGATGGAGCTATGTAGCAAAATTCAAAAAAAAAAAAAAAAAAATCTTAGGATTGATTTTGTACTTCCAAGTAATTGTAAGGGAAGGGACCTCAAAAAAAAAAAAAAAAAATCTTAGGATTGATTTTGTACTTCCAAGTAATTGTAAGGGAAGGCTGATGCTGCTCTTTGTTTATTTATTTTGTTTTTTTAATGAGAACTGAACTTGTTTTATTGTTTTTTAGTCAATTTTCAAAAGAAGTTGTTGCACTATATTATTAACATGTTCATGGGCTGGAATTTTGAACCTTTTTTAATATCATTCACAGTTACTGGAGGGTATTCAAAGTTCCCTAATCATTTCAAAGATGCCAAGCATCTCTCATGACAAGAAGTCCTCAAGAGGTAGAATTTTATTTTTCATGATTAGAAGAATCCTTCAAATATTTTGCAGCTCTTTAAATGTTGATCTATATATGTTTTGACCAGGTAATGTACATGGTTGAAAGGAGACGCATGCTCCGTCGCTCTTTGTCAAAATTACAGGAGTCTTGTGTATGCTTAAGATGACTATTTATCTTTGCAGGGTTCTGTATATAAATTACAGATTTAGGACAAGTGAGGCATAAGGTTGTCTTCTCAGAGGATAAGTTGTATAGTGTCATAGTTAAAAATTATTTATACATATCTTGATTTTGGGTACCCGTAGAGTATATACTTGGACTATGATAATGTAATTTATTTCAAACCTTTTAGAAATTTCATGTAGGAACGAACACATGATTTTTAGCTGCAGGGTCTGCTCCATATTTTTAGACCATCAGGAAACTGGACTAAAAAGCAAAGTACAAGTAAAGTTATCCCAAACTCATTGCAATTCTAAATTGTCTGTTTGTCATTTCTTTCTAGCCTCCACGATTTATTTTTCAAAGGTATTAATTCAAACACAACAATATTAGTCTTAGATTAGAATTTCCTTCCATAATTAATGCCTATTTCGTGTATCAAGAAGCATATGTTCTTCTAAAATTTCAATTGGTGACGTGGATTCCATTCTCATCAGCCTGAATGGTAATTTTTCCATCAAAAAAGAAAGATTGATGTTTGAAAATTATCACAAAGTTTTAGTGTAATTTGATTTTGATGTCGTTGCCACTAAAAAATTGGTGATGTTGTTTGTGTGGGTTTTAGATTATTAATGTGATGTAATTGGTGGATGGGGGGGCTTATCTAAGATGTTTAGGCGAATAAGGTTATATTTGTTGGAGTTTAAATTTTAGTGAAATTAGGGTTAGTCAACCAACCCATCAGCAATCTGTTAGGATCAAGTGCCATAGATTCTAATGCTTATAACTTCCTCTTCAAAAGTTTTTTTTTTTTTTTAAACAAAATTTTGATATATTAACTAAAGAAGAAGGGGTTACAACAGTTGGAGAAGGAAAAAAATATAAAGAGAAGAACACCAAATAAAAGATACATACACCATAAAATAGAAAATAAAAATTCGAAAAAAGAGGGCTCAGAGAAGGCCGAGACCCCTAGCATCCTCTAATCCGCACAAGGCCATCCAGAAAAGGTTGCCACATGAAACAATTTCCACTCCAATCGATGAGCAATCCGATCAAACGCAAGAAACAATCAACCTTGAAATGAATTATCTTCTTCTCCCACCTCTAGTCCAAAATTTCCCACGAGAAGCAACCGTAAGAGGTCTATCACGAGCCATTTTAAACTCATTTTCATGATTTGAATATGACTCAGAATCAGATTCATATTCAAACGAATTATGCAACTAATCACTATGGGACCTAACATCCAATCCGGAAATACCTCCCACCTGGTACATCATAGTTTGGGATGCCATTAAGTTTACTGAAACATTAACCAAATTTTGAGAATTGACCAACAAGCCTTCCCCATCCGAATTTACCACCTGTCCACACACATTAGTATCCACATTCATAGCACTATTCTGAAGCTGAACAGAATCACCCACAACACCTAAAACAGGCGAATCACCATCAACCAACCCACCAGGCCCCTACCACACGCAGCAGAGACAGGCGCAACAATAACAGTAGTAGAAACCAAAATCTCAGTACCAATCGGCACCAGATCAACAGCCGGCAAAGCCTCAATCACAACCGTATGACCAAAATCGTCCACCACACACGAGGGAATAAAAGGAGTAGCATTAGGTGATAAAACCGTATCAACAACATCTGAAATATTGACACCAGCATCTAGCACAACATTATCCTCCCTAGATAGAACAGGGGCATTCAAATCTGGCTTCCCGTCAGGGGATAAAACAGTAGCAGCACCCATAAGATTGCCAACTTGAACATCGGACATAGCATTCACCACACAAGCCTCAACAACATTCTCATTAAAACCATCCTTAAGAGCTTCACAAACCGCAACTTTATCCACATTATTGTCACAGTAATGAGCTAACAGCAAGGCAATAGTCAAAGACCCATCAATCCCATTAGTAACTTGCTTAGCAGGATCACACAATTCATCAGTTGAAGGCACAACCGAAAGGCCCTCCCCACCAGTAAGCAAAGGTTCACTAGAAATGGTCTGAACATGCTTACTACTTAAGGGTAAATTGTTACCATTAATGACATGCTCAACACCCACATTAGGACGAGCAACCAAATGTGGGTGCACGAAATGACATTCCAAATTTGAATGTCCCAAAGATTTACAGTGAGAGCAATACGACGGCAAAGCCTCCATAACCACAGCCTGGATAAAACCCAAATTATCTGGACCAACCCACACTTTATCGGGAAATTGTTTGGAAACATCTAATTCCACCAGCACACGAGCAACCAAAGTTCTAGAACCAGAGGAGGTGGCATGATCAATTTTAAGGGGGCGGCCAAAAATAGACCCAAGGCCATGAAGAATCCTAGGCGAAAAAAGATGAGGTCTCAGATTTGGAAAAGACACCCAAATCGGAATAATAGGCGACTCAACATCAACATCAAACGAAGGCGACCACTTAATCAACCTCATGTAACAATTATTGATAAAATAGGAGCGGTGAGCAAAGACACGACAATAATCCAATATTGGTTTGAGATTCTTCTTTTTTGGCTAAATGTTGTAAGTGATTTAGGGCATTCATAATTTTAGAATTTAATGAATAAGAATGTAAATATATGAAGATCATAGTTTAGGGTGTCTACTATAGATCTGAAGTTTTTAAGAAATTTAAGACGTGTTTTACTCACTCAACTGAAGGTAAATTAAAACTAAGTCAGTTCTGACCTAGTTTAGCTTATTCTCACAAAAGACTTCAAATGATGGATTTAATTGCTAAAAAAATTATGATTATAATTTTTTGGAGTGGGGAATGATTGATAGTATAAAAAAAAGGTAGGACATAAAACAACATAAATCAGACTACTCACCCAAATAGTTTTATAAAGGATCACCTAATTCCTCCAAGTTTAACGATTCGCCAAGCTTCAACCAATGAATTTGTCTTCAAAATCCAGTCACAAAACACATCTATCTCTTTCATTCCCATCCAATTAAGTATTTATATGAGTTACACAAGAGAAGGTTGAATTTAGAAAAGAGAAGCAAAAGGAGAAGAGGCAGCCCACACTTACAATCACCTTAACTACTCCCTTCATGTTTAACTGACCACACCACTCTCCCTAGCCACTTGCTTGGCTAGTCACATCTCTACACACTTGAGTCACTTAATTAATTTAATTAAATGCTTTGTCCTAGCCATTTTACAAATAAAACCCAAACAACAATCATTAGGTCTTACAAAAGTACAATTACAACAATTATAAAAATATATAAAAACACAATATAAAATTATGCAAATCTTTATGATTTCTTAGTGTCTTGAACTTTATATATATGCTCTTGTTCTTTCTCTAATAATAGTATCACCTTCATGTGCTCCATCAAATATTTTTTAATTTTGATATCTTCTTCAATTTCAAAATTATGCCTTGTTTATATATTTAATAAATTTTTAGTTATTTTAATTATGAAAATAACATGCAACATATAACTATTGTATATAAATTTAAAATGCTTTTTTTTTTTTTTTTGAGAAAAAAATTATGCCATGATCATATGCTTTAAAGTCCTAGATCTATTTTTATGTAAGTGCAATATAAGTTATATGTGTATTACGATGACATATTGGATATATAATCAAAAGAAAAAAAGATTTGAAATTCAATAATTGTACTTAGATTGAATCGGCAATAGAATAACATAATAAATATTGAACATTATTTAAATAACATTAAAATGATATAATAACTATGCAATAATGATATAAGTTATATGTGTATTACGATGACATATTGGATATATAATCAAAAGAAAAAAAGATTTGAAATTCAATAATTGTACTTAGATTGAATCGGCAATAGAATAACATAATAAATATTGAACATTATTTAAATAACATTAGAATAACATAATAACTATGCAATATTGAACATTTCTTTTTGCTGTATAAAAAAGTTAATCACATAATATATTTTAAATTTGATGATATTAAATTTTTATTGTTCAAAAATTAAATGATGCTGAAAATTAACTAATTACTTTATAAATTTATTTATTTTATTTTATGTAGATGTTTCTACTTAGGGGAAATATTTTTTTAATATTTAATTATTTCATTATTAAAATATAATGTTAGTTAATCAATTATTGAATGGTTTTTCAATGCGTGATGATTTTTGACAAAATTTAACGCTTAATATTAATTATTAATATTAGAATGTCAGATTAATGTCTTAATAATTATATGCAGATAAGAAGGCGGTTTTTAGCTTTCTGTCGTTTTAATGAAGTAAAATGCCTGAAATTTTCTAAGGGCGAGCTCGATCGAAAAGCTTTTGAGCTTTGGTTGCTATAAATTTCAGTGTGGGAGCTACAGGGAAGGGAGAAGGCAAAAATGGGCTCAAAGTCTACAAACCCTCTTGAGTTAGGTCGATCCTTACCCGTCCCCAATGTGCAGGAACTCGCTCAATCTGATGATCAGATCCCCGAGCGATATTACAGGCCTGAAGCCGACGTTGATCCGGTGGCCTCGATCGATGAGGATGAGCTCCCGGTGATCGATCTAATGAAGCTCCTCAATCCGGAGCTCATTGATAAGGATGAGCTTTTTAGGTTAGGATCGGCATGTAGGGAGTGGGGTTTCTTCCAGGTAAGTATGTATTTTGGTAAAATTAGAAACTAGAAATGAGTGAAAATTGATTAAAATTTTTGTAAAGGTGAGAAATATATGAAGAATTTAATCTTCTATTTTTTCTCCATAAATTTTCATACATTTTATTTCGTTCTCAAGTATACTAGAAGATTGAGGATTCTTAGCTATCCTAAAATATTCTAGACACTTATTAGAAATAGATAACAAATTTTAATCCTTAGTGCTCTGTTTGGTAACAAACCATTATTTGACCCATATTTAGTAGGTTTTGATCTATTATGGGAACTGAAAAAAAAAAAAAAAACTTTTTTTTTGTCCTTTTTAGTGTAAAAAAACTATAGTGCATTTGGTTGTTTACTCCATGTAATCACTATTTCTAAATGTCATTTTTTACTTGATTTTATCAACGCTATAGAAGATACTTCAATCTTTGGTCGAGTGTTTACTATAACCAGTGTCCAAATACCAAGTATATTTATTTTCTTTTAATGCAGCTTGGCAAACATACGAGAGTTAATTCTTTGAATCTTTCGCCTTAGAGAAATTGGCTTAATGATTTTATTTCAAATGACTTTTTTTTTTCTTTCTATTTTTCTAAAAAAAATTCGATTTTGACATCTTTTAAATCAACTGTTCTTCTTCAATTGACTTTTTTTCCTATTATGATAAATGAACACTATTTCTCTTAGAAGTGATAAAATCTTTTGTACTGCTTTCTTTTCTAAAATATCTTCCATATAAGATGTTAATTAATGAACAATTTCATTTACTATGGAGTAGTACTCTGCAGTAGTCTCAGAATCTTTCATCTTTAAAATTTCCAAGTTTCTTCTCAATAAGGACTTAGGTTTTGTGTACCTTTTCATCTCTTAAGTTTTCCTATGCTATAACACTTTTGGCACCGATGATATTTGGAAAATATTGATCTTTCAAGTCCATATATATGACGAGGAAGAAGAGCTTAGAATCCTTTTATTGATCCTTGGAAGTGCCACTGCAGATGGTATATCCCACAAAAATAAATTCTCATTTTGATAGACCAAAAATCATATTCACCCCAAAAAAAAAAAAAAGAAATGAAATGGATGAGTGGAATACATTGATCTTAATTATGATTTGTGTTAGATCAAATTTGGATCTAATACCACTGTCAATAAAACTAAAACTAAATTAATATGAAGAAAGTATTGAAAATTTTGAAAAGATGGGAAATATATGAAATGGTATTCTTTTTATATCTTCTTGTTCTTGATATTTTTATGAAGGGACATAAAAATGGGTAACATTTTTAATAAAATATATGTTTGCTTCGTTGCTCATTTAAACTCAATTTTAATATTATTTTTTTCATATCTTACTCATTTAATTATTTTTTTCTTATGATAATCAGCTAATAAATCATGGAATTCCAGAAGAAGTGATAGAGAAAACAAAGGATGATATTAGCAAGTTCTTCAAGCTTCCACTCAAAGAAAAAGAAACGATTAAACAAATATCTGGACATATTGAAGGTTATGGTCAAATCTTTGTGCACTCTGAAGAACAGAAGTTAGACTGGGCAGATGTTCTAACTCTCAACATCCAGCCTTCTCAGAATAGAGACATGAGATTTTGGCCTACTAATCCCACCACATTCAGGTCCTTCTTCTAAAGATTTTGTTAATAAAAGTATGTTGTATTAAAATTGCCATTAGTTACAACCGAAGAACCACACTACTAATTTTTTCTTTTATTGAAATTCTCAACCTAATTATTTAAGTTAATCATTAGAGAAATTGAAATTATTAACTTCATTAGTCTCATTTCAGCTATTTGAAGACTTCAAATGTTTTTAAGATAATTTTTTTACTATTTTATTTTAAAGATTGCTAACACACTTATATTTGCATGACTACTACCAACCGTTTAATTAAATGATATTTCCTCTATCCTCTTTAAACAAAGAAGTTAGAGATTAAATTTTGTATTTTATTTAAAGTAAAACTAGTGAGCTGAAATAATTGTATTTCATAATTTAATTTCTTCATAATTTTGCAATAAATCAAACAAACCCAAATTAATTAGCAAAGGAAGTTCAACTATATTATCAATGCATTTAGTTTTCTTTTTTATGATGAACTTTTGTGTTTTCCTAACTATCATACACTGCATGCCTTTTCATTATAGGGATACACTAGACACATACACATTAAAGATTGGAAAAGTTGTTGATTGTCTTTATGGATTGATGGCTGAGGATTTGGGCGTTGATCCTCAAGACATGCTTAATATTTTTAGAGATCAGCTGCAATCTGTAAGAATAAATTACTATCCACCATGCAAGCAGGCTAATAAGGTCCTGGGTCTCTCGCCACACAGTGATGGAAGTGCATTGACAGTGCTCCTACAAGCTAATGATGTCCATGGTTTGCAGATAAAGAAAAATGACAAATGGTTACTTGTAAAGCCAAAACCAAACGCATTAATAATCAACATTGGTGATATAATGGAGGTAATTGAAATGTTTGTTCTATAGTTGTAAAGTAATCTTCCTAATTTTCATTTTAACTTGTTTGGTTTCCCATATTTTCCTAATGCGTAAATTAAAAGAAAAATGGGAACTATGATATGATAATATATTCATACTTTGCCATGTTTTCATCCATAAAGATGTAGATGCTTCTAAAAGATTTTCATGTAGTGTTGAGCATCATTTTTGACACTAAGGCTTCGTTTAGGATAATTTTTTTATTGCTTTCAATAGTAACTTTTTAGTTAAAAAATTTATTGAAATAACCAAAAATCAGTGGTCAAAAGCTGTCCCAAATGAAGCCTAAGATGTATGAACAACCTAGAATATCATGTCCACGATGTCATTTGATGCGGCTTGTTTTAGTTTTATTATAAAATGATTAGACTTTGATTGAAAAACACTTAGACATCTCATAGTCCATCGTTAACATGTGTTGAGCCTGAGCTACTCTAACTATTCTAGAAGACATACATAATGAGGATTAGAAATTAAAAGCCAAATTGAATTATGAAGGGATTTCTTTCTGTTTTTGTGAAACTCTCAAATAAATTTTTTTGTTTTTGTTTTGTTTTGAATCATGTGATGATAAAATCTTACATTTATTTTAAATACATATCATATTTTCATCTATGAATCACAAATACTTCTAAAAGTATTATATTTTGTTGCCTGTCATATTTGACACTTAGATATAAAAAACTCAAGAATATCATGTCTACCATATCATTTAATGAGCGTGTATAAAATATATTTTGTATATACATTGTTTATGTGCTTCTTTATTTTCTCAACAGATAATGACTAATGGAAAGTATAAAAGCATAGAGCACAGAGCTATTATAAACATGGAGGAGGAACGACTATCAATAGCGACATTTCATTTTCCAAGCATTGATGTTTTGTTGCGTCCTTTTCCCGAGCTTGTTAATAGTGATGGTAAGCTTTATAAGACTATAAGCGCCAAAGAATATGCAATAGAATATTTTGCAGGAAAACTAAATGGAAAGAATGCCTTGGAGAGCATGAAGCTAAGGAAATGATGGACCTTATTTAATATATACCTACTATTAATTTATTATAAGGAGAGCTTATATGTGAAATATGCATATTGAAGCTAATAATGTGTTGGATCTCTTTCCACATAATGGTTGAATTGCATTAATATTGCTTCTCCAGCCAAATAATATTCATTGTTTACAAATTAAATAAAATATTAAGTGATTTATTGTAACATCAAAACTAGAAACTTCAATTTTTAACATTGGTGATGTCATGGAGGTAATTTATTAAAAATGGTTCATAGCCTTGAAAGAATGCTCTTAATTTTCTTCTTTTTACATAAGTTCATGAGTTATTCGGCTGCTTAATTCTAGTAGGATCTAATAAATCTTGTAAATTCAAATTTAATTATTCTTAGAGGCTTTATATCCCAAACCAAGATATAGAGTAAAAATGCTTTTTAATGAGTAAAATAAACTTTTCACCAAGTAGCTTCTGATATATTTTATAAGGCTTTGTTTTGAACATTTTGATTGAAGAAAATAACTTTTTACCAGTTTATTTTACCTAAATGAATTTCTGAGTATTTTTTGTTAAAAATTTGCATATTTGATATCGGTTATAATTCTCTAAAAAGTCTTAAGATAACATTTTAAAGATGATATTAATGTGATCTAATTGATAAATGGGGGGCTTATCTAAGATGTTTAGGAGATTAAGGTTATATTGATTTTTTTTTTTTTTTGGAGAAACCCCACACAGGGGACGCCCATTAAATAAAACAAGGGGAGTTACAAGTCCTTAAGAGATCTCAAGCTTACTAAAAATACAATATTTGAAACAAAACCTAAGAGCTAATGAATCTCCACTAATAATATAATAACAAATGAAAGAAAGAAAGAAATACCCAAAGACACTAAACAGGAGGCAAAAGAAGCATGCAATAAGAAGAGCATAAATAGAAGAGAGATGATCTACAGGAGGAGCCACCACGAGGCCAAAAATAACATGTATAGAAAAAAATAAAACAACAACCTCCAAAGCCCAAACATAGTCAGAACAAAAACAAAATAGAACCCACAACCAACAACTAAAACCAAAAAATTCCACCGGCCAGCAAACACCACAACCCAAGAAAAATAGCCGGCCCCAAGACAACAAAACAAAAGGAAAACTGAAATCATTTCCATTTGGCTTTCCTTTGCTTATGATTAACATTCTTTTTGAAGTAGTCAGCCTCAACAATAGTGACTACATTAAGGTTATAAATTCCCACCTCATGAGAATCAATGTCTACCAAAGCATTTTAAATAGGTGTAGAATCACAATCTTCCAACCATCCACCTTCACTCATCTCATAAACAATCTCATTAGAAGTCAATTGAGCAAGAAAACAATGTTCCTTATTAGAGTTATAGGGACATGAACGAAATGGGAAGGGGATCCAACATTCAAAACAATATGCAAACAGCCATAAAAAATCACCCCATCGGCAAGAGGCAAAGGTAAACCAACCTTCAATGACTCACCCGACAAGGACAAGCCAGAAGAATTCAAAGGATCAACAGCTTCACGTCTCACTAGATTCAAAGAAGCAGAACTACAATCCACCACAGCATTTCGCCACAACATCATCAACATCTCCAGCAATAGAAGAGTGAACAAGAGTAGAGACAAGTTTAAACAAGCAACGGTTAGGGATCAACATGACACCCACATTGTTAACATTAGGATCATTGACCACATTACCCCTTTTGTTACAATTACCCTCATTAAGGCCACCATAATCATCAACATCATTACCCACAAGATTACAAAAAACCTCATTAACACCTCCATCATCAACAACCACATTAGTTATAGGTGAGACATGCATCAACAAATGAACATTCTCAATGCTATTAATAACGACAAAAGCATTCCCATCAGATATATACTGATCGTTAGAACTAGCCACATATCATTAACAATATTCTTTTTAAAACCCCCCACATTTCGCTCCTCATTAACAACCAAAGCCAAAACAACATTTTCATTACTATTAGCAATTATGATCCAACAAATTAGGATTGGCATTAGAATTTGGAATAGGCAAAGGAGCAGAGGACTGGATGCTACACTCACCCTTAAGATGACCAAGGCACTTGCAAGAAATGTAGAATGAAGGAAATTCCTCAATCTGCACCATTTAAATATACCCTACATTCTCAAGTCCAAGCCAGATTTTGTCTAGATAATATTTTATGATGTCCATTTCAACTAAAACCAGCACAAGAGAGGGTCTAGAACTAACCGAAATTGCACTGTTGACTTTCAAGAGCCGACCTAACATAGATTCCAAATTCCAAAGTGTAAAAGATCTGAGGAGAGAAGAGATGGGGACTTAGACTGGGGAAGGAAAACCCAAATGGGAATCACCGAATATTCAACACCGATATCCAGAGAAAGTGACCATTTAGTGAGTTTCATGAAATAATTATTAACCAAATAGGATCTATGGAAAAATACTTTATTATAAACAAAATCATTAGATAACTTAATAAGAACATGCGAATGATCAATAACAGTAACAGAGAAATCAGCATTTAACTTCAAGTTGAAAAAAAAAATCCATGAATGGCATCCAAAGAAGGCCAGCGCGATGGAAAAAATCCCACCAATGCAAATTGAAACGAAACCACAAGAGCCAACATTGCTTTCATTGTCGAAGCTCAAGAAAACATATAGTAGAAGGAGAACCTGCAAGGGCATCAACAAAAGACTCCAATTTGAAGGAACCATTCAAAAAATCGGGATCACTAACTCGTTTAATCACCATTCCGGTTGTGAATGGCCGGAGATTGAAGAGATGAGGAAGCCAAACCAGAAAGAACCCAAGAAAGAGGAGAAGGAAAAGATTAGCTTCCCTGAAACCACCAGCAAGAGACAACAAGAATCACCTGGAGAGGGGAACCCCTAGCGTTGTAAATATAATGGTAATCGAATAAAGCCTGACACACATGATTTATCTAAATTTGGAGTAAGGTTATATTGGTTGGAGTTTAAATTTGAGTGAAATTAGGGTTGTGATGAAGTGCGTGTTCAACCAACCCAATTTCAGCAATCTGTTAGGATCAAGTGCCATAGATTCTAATGCTTATAACTTCCTCTTCAAAAGTTCAAATGAGATGAATTAAAAATTAAATTAAAGGTTAAAAATCCTAGTTATGATCTGTAGAATTCGATGATTTTTTGTAGAGATTTAATAAATCTTTTTGAAATTTTCTCCATACTGCTTTGAGATTCCTCCTTTCTAGCTAAAGGTTATAAATGATTTAGGGTATCCAGAATTTTAGAATTTAATGAGAGTATAAATTATTGAAGATCAAGGTTTAGGGTGTTTCCTATAAATTAGGAGTTTTTGAGAATTTTTAGATGTCTTTTATTCACTCAATTGAGAGTAAATTAAAACTAAGTCAATTCTGATCTAGTTTGATCGATTCTCACAAAAATCTTCAATTGATGAGTTTGATTGATGGAAATTTTATTATTATAATTTTTTTGGAGTGGGGAATGATTGATAATATAATTACAACATCATAATTATGAAAATATATAAAAATACAATATAAAATTATGCAAATCTTTATGATTTCTTAGTGTCTTGAACTTTATATATATGCTCTTGTTCTTTCTCTAATAATAGGATCACCTTTATGTGCTGCATCAAATATTTTTTTATTTTGATAACTTCTTCAATTTGAAAATTAGGCCTTGTTTATATATTTAATAAAATTTTAGTTATTTTAATTATGAAAATAACATGCAACATTTATATATTATATATAAATTTAAAATGCACTTTTTTTTTTTTTTGAGAAAAAAATTATGCCGTGATAATCGGCTTTAAAGTCCTAGATCTATTTTTAGATAAGTGCAATATATGTTATTTGTGTATTAGAATCAGAAGAAAAACCGGATTGAAATTCAATAATTGTACTTAGATAGAATCGGGAACCGAATAATATAGTAAATATTAAAAATTATTTAAATAATATTAATTTATTATAATATATATATATATATATATATATATACATTATTGTGCAATTTCAAAGCCCATCAAAATATGATATTTTTGAAGGGGTCATTTAAATCAATTAAGACAAACTCACGCACATAACATTCACAAGCTTTGAACCCAAAATCTCTTAGTCGATAGCCAAAACTCCCAGCCAACAGATCAAGATAAGCTACGCCAAATACAATATCACTAACCTTATAAATCTGCCTCCCATGACTCATGATTGAGAAAATCTCTAGTGTGCCACTAGATCAAGAGTTGGTAACCATAATTCATTTCAAAAAGATAACTACAAATGCCCATTAATATATAAAAAATATATATATAAATCAAGCAAGTTATAGGAATACTCAAACATTAAACGGAAAAAAAAAATTATTACAAACTCGTGAAGGCAACTAAAAAAACATGCCTACTTTTTCTGCTACCAAAACAATCAGAACCTGCTAAGATACAAACTAAACTATCATTCTTACCAATCAATACTCTTCTCTCAAATCAACCAAATCTTCACTAAATCAAAGCCTACTTCATCAATACAATCATACATACAGAGTTACAGAATTCACACTGCTTGCAACTGAGTATTACTGTTAAGCTTCACTTAAGCTGCACCAGAAGACCTATCATTTGGCCCAGCCAGCACAATCTGACAACAGATTTCACATGCATTTAAGAATTCAGGTGAGATATATCTAATTATTGAGCAAGGAGTCTAAAGAGATTAAAAGAAATTGAAGGAATTTTTTATACACAAAAATTATGTCTCTCAGTGCAATCAGAACTTGTTAAAAATCATCCAGTAAGCTCAAGAAGGGGTGTAATCGGCATGTCTTGGTGAGTTGAAGGCTTCTATATTGCTTCTAAAAGCAGCTTTTTAGTACAAAAGTTTTAATTTTTTACTAGAAAGCTGCTTTATGAAGCAATAAAAAAGCCGTCCCAAACAAAGCTGAAGAATCACTCAGCTTGCCACATTAAGCAAATGAGTCAAAAATTTCACTTTATGTAAGTCATTTATTTACTGAGCCAAATACGAGTTGTTCGTGAAGATAAAGCCTATTTTAGGTTTAGGGTTTAGATTATCGAATACATGACCGTATATGTGTGTATATAGAATACATGACCGTATAGAGATATATTTGCATATTTTTAGTTATATATATAAATTAGTTGAGCTACTATGAAGTCAAACAGGACCGAACAAAGATAGTCATGTTAGCTTGATGAGGGAGTAAATGGTAATTTATTAAAATTATTCACACTAGACCTAATTATCAATTTGAAAATGGATAACAAACTTTTTTTATAGCACAAATAAGGTTTTGTTTGGGACGGTTTTCTTATTGCTTCTTAAAGCAAGTTTCTAATAAAAAAATAAAAATAGTAAGAAAACCATCCCAAATGAAGCCAAAATATTACAAGCTATCAATCTGATTTGTTTGCTTTTAGTTAGAATACATTCTTTGAAAAATAACAGGTTTATTAGATTCCATTATTTGGTTAGATGAGATTTGAAATCAATAAGAATTTTCAACAAAAGAAGAACCTTCAAAATCCCTCAAAAATGGATCTATTCATTTTCAAAATGAGCAGAAAAAAGCATCACTTACTACGACCAAATAAGCTTTTAGTGCAGCCAGAACTTACATTACAATCAAAAGCGTATCTTCTTGCGAGCATTATTGCTGCATTCCTTTCTCTCGTGGATTCAAAAGCGAAGCTGAAGGAGAGGCCACTTTTAGCTTGCCAGAAGAGTGACTGAGCCGCAGCGCTTCCACCTCCTCTAACCCCGCAAAGCTGAGCATTGACAACAAGAGAGGGAACTTAATACATTTTTTTTAGCTATAAAAGATAAAACCACCACCTATTTTAGGTTTTTTGCACCGTAATTATAAGAAGGATGGTATAAGGGCAAAAAAAAAAAAAAATTATTTCTTTACAGAATGGTCACAAGTAGTTATGCTTTGCAAATTATCAACAGAATGGTCACTAGTAGTTATGTTTTCGCAAATTACATAAATAATATTTTCCAACTACTTCAAAGTGGAAAAGAAACGTAGGGAAAAACGCTAAGGGTTCATTTCCACTGCGAAGGAACCTCTGTAATCTATAGATACTAAAGCTACTAGGAAATTTCCAGTATAACATTGCATATTTCTTTTTAAGAAAATGCCAATGACGATGCAAATCAAAACGTTTATAAATTTAGTTACAACTGGACTGATTAAAACACAAATAAAATGATCAGCTATAACAAGAAATCTAGCTGTTGAATCTAATTTATCTAAATTGGCATTTTTGAATTTTAAAATTTATACTATTTGTACTGTAGGATTTTATTCGTACTGTATGATCTTTTAAATCATTGTCTAATTAGGTCAGTTGATTAAGCAATCAAACCGAATATAAATTGATTACAGATCGTACAGTTTGATCATAAATCATAGTGTACGACTCACCCAAGGAGTTCCCGGATGAAATTCGGTTCATTTAAGTATGATTATAAAGATCGTAATCTACGACTCACCCGAGAACTCTCAGGATGACATTTGGTTGTAAAAATTGATAGAGTTAGAGATAAAATTATAGCTTTGAAGATTATTGTTCATGCTAAGATTATTAATATTATAAGTGCTTATACTTCTCAAGTAGGTTTGGATGTGTGTTCAAAATTAAAATTTTGAAATGACTTAAAAGAATTAATACAAATCATATCTCTTGAAGAAAAAAGTTTTTATTGGAGGAGATTTAAATGAACATACTGGCAGAGGAAGATAATTTTAAAAACATACATGATGGTTATAGGTTTGTAGCAATCAATGAAGGTGGTAATTGTTTTAGCTTATGCTTTTTTAATTGCCAATACATTTTTTAAGAAAAGAGATGAACATCTCATCACCAATAAGAATGGATATAGTAATACTAAAATTGATTGTTTTCTTATAAGAAAAATATATCATTTAGATTGTAAAGATTGTAAAGTTATTCTGAGTGAAAGTTTATATATCAAACATTGTTTATTAGTTTTTGAATTTTAAGATGAATGGCCAAAATATGAAAAATAAAGTAAAACATTGTTCTAAGATTAGATGGGGGTATTTAAAGTACATAAATAAAATATTTTTGAAAGTAAGAGTTGAGATCTTAAGATTTTGCCCGTGCATGAGAATGTTATGTTAAAAAATGTAGGTAGAGATATTAAAAATTTTGCAAAGAATGTACTTGGAGTATCAAAAGGAAAAGCTCAAAAAAAAAATGTTGGTGGTGGAATTAAAATGAGCAAGAAAAGATTAAAAAATAAGAAATTTGTAATAAAAATTTTAATAATTGAGAAAAATATAAAGAGGTCCGAAAGGAGTCTAAGAAAGCAATATGCGATGCAAAAATTTTAGTATTTAATTATTTATATAATAAATTAGATACTAAGGAGGGCAAAAAATTTTAGCCAAACAAAGAGATAGAAGAAATAAGATTTAGTTCAAGTGAAGTGCATTAAGGATGAAAATTAAAAAAATGATTTTATTAGTGAGACCTGCAATGCTTTATGGCGTAGAATGTTGGTCATTAATAGAGAAGCATAATATTAAGTTAAGTGTTGCAGAAATGAGGATGCTTAGGTGAATGAGTGACATTACTCTTCAAGACAGGATACAAAATGAGCATATACATGAAAAGGTTGTAGTAGCTCCAATGGCTTATAAGATTAGAGAGAGTTGTCTTAGATGGTTTGGTCACATAAAACGACAACCTTCTGATGATACAGATAGGAGAGTAGATGTATTAGATTTAGCTTATGTTAAGAAAGGTAGAGGCAGACCTAAAAAGGATTGTTATAAAATATTAGAAATGACCTTTCTTTATTAGATTTAAATGAGAATTTGACTCTTAACAAAGCATAATGGAGAAAAAATATTCATTTAGCTAACCCCGCATAGTGAGATAAATGCTTAATGTTGTTGTTGTTGTTGCAAGTCTTTTTAGGTCTTCTATTCTCTTTTTTAACATAGGTTAAATCTAATACATTTACTCTCCTAACTGGGTCATTAGAAGTCTGACGTTTTATGTGACCAAACCATCTCAGGAGACTCTCTAATCTTCTATACCACTAGAACTACAACCTTTTCACGTATATGCTTGTTTCGAATTCTATCTCTATGAGTAAAGCCACTCATCCACCTGAGCATCCTCAGTCATACAACAATTAACTTAATTTTATGCTTCTATTTTCAACATTTTGCACCATAAACTTTTGCAGGTCTCACTAACACCTTATAGAATTTTCCCTTAAAAAATTGTACATTAATGTCCAACATAATTAAAAAAAAAAAAAAAAAGATCCACAGTATGTAAGCAAATCTATCTGGATGCCAACCCTATTGTTGAACTATAATCTACAGCCAAGCAGAAACAAAACAAAAGAAATAAAAAAAAATGCAAAAAACATTACCTCTGCCGGATATCCTGGCAAAATGATCGCAAATCCTGCTTTGCTACAGTTGGCCATCCCTCTGCAGCGGCGCCGAACTCACGTCTTTTCTCCCGTATGCGAAAATCCCGCTCGATCCCGTCGTTAAATACCCGATCAAGAGAAGGATTCAGGCACTCACTCGCTCTCTGCCCTCTCCCGATACCCCTTCCCACGACACTCCACTGCCTCCTGATCTCCCCTCAATCCCGAGCCCAGCAGCCGGAATCCTCCCAGCCTCCAACCAAAATCCCGATCTCCCTCATTAACCGACCCCCTCTTAGTCATCCAGCCACCAATCCAGA